GCAGTGTTGGGGTGATGGCTGGACTCGAGATCTTGGACATCTTTTCTATCCTTAGTGATTTTATGATTTTTGATATAACTATGGTACCATACAATTTGGGAAGTATCAATATCTGTTTTTTTTTCCAGAAGTTTAAGAGAGCAAGAGTGTGAGTAACATCAGAGAAAATGAGCCTCTTTTTCAGTGGGTTTCTTGGCTGCTCTCACTTTGGAAGTTTGTGTTGAAAATCATGTTTTTCTTTTCTCTGCATGGCTCAGTCTTTATGCTCTGCTGTCCCATTCAGAGCAGGTCAGAGCCTTCATACTTGAGTTGTTTTTTTTGATTAAAGGATTAAAACAGGGGTGTGTTACCCCCTTAACATCTCTTTTCTTATTATTATTTATTTACTGCTGCTGTAGGTCAGCAAATAATCTTCCTGTTGCGTTTCTGTGGGTCCAAACTACTGTAAAAACAAAGACCTGTGCACACAAACCCATAACTCTGGGGCAGAAATGTTGGAGTTGAGTTTGTGCTTGTCAGCACCGAGTGTTTCTGACCAGTTTTTGCAAAGAGCATACCCACCATGAGTCTGGGCTGTGCTTGGGTGCCCCTGAAGGAGGGGTGGATTCTGATGAACAGGTAGCCTGGGGAGAGGTTTGCTTTCCAAGCTGTATCTTATAACTGGTGTGGATCTTGTTTGTCTTCAAAGATAAGCTCTGCTGCCTGTGGCTATGGCTTCACCCTGCTGTCCTCCAGGACCACAGACATCACCAAAGTGTGGGGCATGGGGCTGAACAAGGACTCCCAGCTGGGCTTCCAGAGGAGCAGAAGGGACCGAGGTAAGGATGGGAGTGTTTGAAAGACTTCCAAGATACACAGAACGTGGGAAACTTCACCTTAGGAGGGGTGAGAAACATCCAGGAGGCTTTGATGCAGATGGAGTCTTTGGGTTTGGAATTTATTTTTTTGAAAGAGATCTCTTTTTTTTGAACTTAGCTGTGTTTTTGTGTGCTCTGTAACTGTTGGAGGTTTGTGTTTGCTCTGTGCAGGGAGCTTCTGTTGCTGCTTGGAGGGGACTGAAATCTATCAACTGTTTATTCTGCAGGAGTGTGTGTGTTGGCCAAGGTGTTGCTTTGAATCACTATATTTTGGTAGTGACCTTTTTGGCAAGATGCTTCACTCACTTCCATCACCTTGGCACCTTTAAACTAATTTCCTTTCCCCCAGAGATCTTCCCGTACTGTCAGTGGATGTTTTTGTGAAGCTGTAGGGCTTTTTGTTTTAATCCCAAACTGCATTTTGAAGGAAAAATCATGTTACTCAGCCCCTTGGTCTTATAGCAGGCTCTCAAATGCATTGAATAGGATGATTTCTGTGCAGAATGTTGGTGCCTGCCACCTAAGACAGATAGGAAACCCCCAAACTCTCTTCCCCTGTAGAATCTGTCTCTGAAAACATTCCTCCACAAACAGCTGGGGAAAAGTGCCTTAAAAGTGCTTCTCTTTCTAGTGCAGAGAAGCACAATCCCTTCAGCTGTGGTGCACCTGATGTGAGCACCAGACTGAACGTTGGGGAGAAGCAAAGGGAGGTGGCAGGTGCAGTGTGGGCTGTTGTGTGCTGCAGGAGCCTCACTCCTGCTTTCCAGGGTGTCAGCTCTTCCTCTCCCCTGGCTCTCCACGTGCTGATGTCTCAGGGGTATCTTGCTGTTTCCTTGGTTTTCACCTGACCCACAGGTTATTTTTGCCAGAGAATCCAGGAACAGGTGAAATAGTTTTGTCAAGAGACAAACACGAGAGTGTTTGGTGTTGGGATGTGCTGAAAGCCCAGTGCAGAGCATGGGGCTCTGGCTGTTTGCCTTCCCACAGCCAGGCTTGCAGTGGGCTGTGCCTCTTGTTCCACAGTGGTGCAGACTTACTGGGGCCCCTGCTGGTTCTGACACTGCCCCTCCAGATGCTTCATTTCCAGGGGAATTTGCAGCCTTCTGACTTGTGGGTGGTTCTGTGTCGTGCTGTAACTTCTGTTGTTTCTGCACTAAACTACTCATACTCTGCTCTCACTCTCCTCTTCCTTAGCCACCCCATGGCCTCTTTTCCCCCAGATCCCCTGGGTATCACTGATGGTGACCACAGATCCCAGTGTCTTGTGTTGCTCTGCTGGAAGGAACAGAGAGAGAGGAGAAGGGATTTTCCTTTGTGCCTTTCTCCTCTCTTCAGGCAGATCCAAACTTTGGTGCCTTTCAGTGTTCCCTGGCAGGCTCCCACCCTCTGCAGGCAGCCAGTTGTGATGCCCCTGCTCACATGGAGTGGTGTCTTGCTGTAAAAGAACATGTGGAGATTTTCTTTCTTTTCTCTTTCACTGAAGGCACTGAGGCCTAGTTAAAGCACTGTAGGTGTGAGCAGAATGCTGCTCGGGGTCCTCGGGGCTTTGATTTCACTTGTTACAGTGCCTTTCTTTGATATCAGAGCCTTTTATCTCCCCTTAACCTTTTCCCTGGTACTGATTTAGGTTTTGCTGTTCTTTTTTTTTCCCCCTTTTTCCCTTCCCAGCTGACAGTGCCTGATTACATATTCCTCAGGTTACTGAGGCTTCTCTCTTCTAGTGCAGCCTGTCATTTTCTTTTATAAATGTTAGATCTCTCCTTCCCTACAGAGCCAGGCTGGCTAATGTTTCTTGCATTCCTTTTGAAAGGGCCTTTAATCTACTGCTGTTTAAATGTGAAGCCCTCAGATGTTTTTGTTCACCTTTTGTGCATTTTGTGTTGCTGCTCTTGTACCTTGGTTGCAGTATCCCCAGCTGCACAGAGCGCTCGCTGTGTGTGTGGAGTTAAGCTCTCTGGTAACACACCCTTGTTCCCCACGGTGGTGGATCACAGGGCTGGAGGCCTCAGTGATCTTGGAACATGACAGGACTGGCACAGAGCTGGTGCAGTTGCTTTGTGGAAGCTCCTGACCTTTACTCTGTCTCTCCTTTCCTCCAGCCAAGGGCTACGAGTACGTCCTGGAGCCCTCGCCGGTCCCGCTGCCGCTGGAGAGGCCGCAGCAGACCCGAGTCCTGCAGGTGTCCTGTGGCAGAGCCCACTCCCTCGTCCTCACCGACTCCGAAGGAGGTACAGCCTCCAGCCTGCCTCCTGCTGCTGACAGGGCAGCTCTGCTGGGGCAGGCTCCAGGCCAGGCTGCCCCTCTGCCCTGCAGAGCTAGACCCTGGCCGGGCGGGATCCTGCCGCAGCGCGAGCCCTGGGCGTAACCCTGCTGTGCTGAGCTCTGCTTGGCTCCAGCTGCTGGGGCTGTGTCACTGCAGAACAAAATGGGGGTTGTTCACCCAGCCCTGGGCCCCGCTGAAGTGCAGCCTGTGTGTCCTGTGCAGTCAGACGTGGGTCTGAATTCAGTTTTGCCAGCACTCCTGAGTTGCTTTCCCCTTGAAGCCCCCGAGAGCTCCATTTCTAGCAGCCATTAATTAATAGGCCTTTCTGGAGAAGATCCTGTTTGTGCAGTGACTCCACGGCTGTGAGAACTCTCTGGTGTGGTGGCTTCAGTGCTGCCCATCAGTGGGGGAGCTGCCTGGTTGTTGATTTAAGGCCCCTGTGGGAGCACTGATCCATTTCTGAGTCTCCTTGGCAACGGCGGGATGAACGAGGCAATTACTGAAGAACTGCCACTGGGCTGCAGGTACTGCTGCTGTGCCTGCAACAATATCCCTGGGACACTGGGGAGGAAAATTGATTCAGTCACTTGAATTTAAGTGGACTTGGTTTGAAGGAAGCTCATGCCAATTTTTACAGAGCCGTTTTCCACCCTTCATACTGAGGGCTGTATGAAAAAAACATCATGTACCTGAAAAGAGGCTTTCAGGGGATTGGACAGTGATAGAAGTAGTGAATTTTGTCATTGCTTTTCAGTTTTCACAATGGGGAACAATTCTTATGGACAGTGTGGCCGAAAGGTTGTTGAAGATGAAACTTACAGGTGAGAGTCCAAAGATCCTGAACTTCCTTAATGTTAAAACCATCATTGCAGGGAAATGACCCTACAGAAAAGCCTGGAGGTGGGAAAAACCTGGGATATAAGTACAAGAATGCCATTTAAGACAAAGCAGGCTGAGGACAGGCTGTTATGCTGCAGGTGTCATATGGTTTAAACCCAGGCTGGGTGCTCACACTTGTCTGACCACACTCAAGGCAGAAAAATTTCTGCATGTGGCAGTTTTCACAGGGCACAGTGAGAAAACCCAACCTTCATAAACTGCTTGAGGTAATTGGTGATGGAAGTTGGTTGTTCTCCCTTTAGGCTCTCAGAGTGCAAGTGCTGCTTCTGAGGGTGTTAGAAATGGCTCTTAATGAGGACAGAGGCCCCCTTTTATTGAGTCTCTTGACTGTAGCTGCCTTTGAATCTCTAGTGCTTTTCTTTTACAGGCTTTTTGTGGGCCACACCAAAGCATCTTCTCAAAATGCTCTGTAAGGTAGTGATGTGAGCTGTGGGAGTATGTTGAGAGTTACTGATTGCCTGGCAGGGCCTAGAAGAGATCTTGCTCGTTGTGCTCTGGGTGATCCAGAGGGCTTGGCCTGTAGAGTTGAAGAAAATGACTCTAGTTCTGGGGCCAGTCCTGTTTAATACCTTTATCAATGATTTGGGTGAGGGGCTCGAGGCACCCTCAGTAGGTTTGCAGGTGACACCAAATGGAGCAGAGTGTTGATCTGCTCAGGGGCTGGGAGGCTCTGCAGGGGGGTCTGGACAGGTGGCACTGGTGGGCTGAGGTCAGTTGTGTGAGGATTAACAAGGCCAGGGGCTGGGTCCTGCCCTTGGGTCACAACAACCCCAGGCAGTGCTCCAGGCTTGGGGAGGAGTGGAAACTGCCCAGCAGAAAAGGCCCTGGGGGTCACCATCCCTGGAGGGGTTCAAAAGCCATGTAGCCATGGCACCTGGGGACATGGTTTAGTGGTCATGGTAGTGCTGCATTGGTGGCTGGACTTGATGATCTTAGAGGTCTTTTCCAACCTTAAAGATTCTGTAATTTAGTTAATTTTTTTCCACCTTGAATCTCTCATGTAATAGCAAAGTGGCTTTCAGTAAAGGCAGAGCTGCCCTTGGGCTTTTCAGCTGCAGTCCTCTCACATCCTCTGTGTTGCCTTTTCTCTTTTTGGTGGTGGTGTGGTGGTGCCCAGTGAAAGCCATCTGATTCATCAGCTGAAGGACTTTGACAGCAGAGTTGTCCAGGTAAGAGGATCATTGTCTGAACTCAATGCTGAAGGTGGATTGAGAACTGGCTGAAGAGCTGAGCTCAGAGGCTGCTGGTCATTGGCATGGGGACCAGCTGGGACCTAGTGCTGTATCCCAGGGGTCAGTGCTGGCTCTGAAGCTGCTCAGCTTTCACTGGTGTGGGTGGTGGGGCAGGGGCTGCCCTCAGCAAGTCTGCCCATGACATAAAACTGGGAGGAGTGGCTGACACACCAGATGGTGGTGCTGCCATCCAGGGGCTGGAGAAATGGGCTGAGGTGAAGTCCTGCAGTGGCCTGACCAGCTGGGGAGCAGCTCTGGCAGAAAGGCCCTGGGGGAGCTGGTGGACACCAGGTTGACTGTGAGGCAGCAGCATGGCCTTGCTGTGGAGAGGGCCAGTGGTGTCCCAGGCACTAGGGCAGACTGGAGCATCTCCTGTGAGGAGCTGCTGAGAGGGTGGGCACTGGAGCAGGAAGGCTGGGGGGTGTTTTGGCAATGTGTAAACACCTGAAGAAGGAGTGCCCAGGGGATGGAGCCAGGCTGTTTGGTGGTGCCCAGTGGTAGGGCAAGAGGCAGTGGGCACAAGCTGGGACAAGGGAGGTTCCCTCTGAACATCAGGGAACACTTTTTGGCTGTGACTGAGTACTGACACAGGTTGCCCAGCCAGGTTCCTGAGTCTCCCTCCTTAGAGATACTCAAAACCAGCTGGACATGGCTGTAGGTGGCCCTGCTTGGGCAGGGGTCTTGGACCAGATGACTTTCAGAGGTTACTTCCAAACTCAATAAGTCTACTGTGGTGTGGCCTAATGATGTTTTTAATTAGGCTTGTAAAATTCTGTTTGAATTTTTCACTGTTTTATATTTTTCAAGGGGGTTGAGCAATTGGTCCCTGTTTGTCCTTTGAGAGCAGTTATGTGCTTAATACTCTTGATAATCACTCTCTTAACTTGTGGATTAAATCCCTTCAGTTTTTGGTTCATTTTTAATGTCTACTTTTGAAGATCCAGGCTTTAATTCCTCCGGAGCCTGTGGCAGACACGACTGGCAGTGCAGCCTGGGTGTCCAGTGGAGAGGAGACACGTTCCTAGATCACTCACATGGCCAGGGATCAGTGGCACTGTGCAGCTGGCAGCCCCTGGGGAGGGAGATCCCTTCCTCCTCCTGGCTGGCTGGTCATGTTGTGCTGCTGCCTCAGGCTCTCTGTTCACTGGGCCTTGTGCTGCTTCTCAGAACAAACCAGCCACAGCATCACCTTCCCCAGGGGCAATCCTGCTGCTCTCTGTGCTGCTCTGGCCCTTCCCTGCCTGCCGAGCTGCTTGGCTGGGAGAGAAATGCCAAAATCTGAGCTGATGGGCGTGGTGGAGGTTCATGGGACAGTTCTCCTGCCAGAGGAGCTTGGTTCCATCACTCCTGAAGGCGTGACCAGCTCTGCTCTTCCTCCCTGTGCAGGTGGTGTGTGGGCAGGACCACAGCCTGTTCAGGACCAGGAGGGGCACGGTCTATGCCTGTGGATGGGGGGCTGATGGACAGACAGGTAGGAGCTCAGCTCACCTCACAGTGACCTGATGAATGCAGCAAGCTGGCCCAGCTCAGAGCTTGTGACGTGTGCCCATTGTGCCTGTGTGGACAGAAAGGGGCTGGCACATTTCCAGCTGTGTGCAGATGTTCTCAGTATTCCAGTGTCTCCAAACTGAGACAAACCAGGTGATTTTCAGAGGAGCTTTAGGATGCCACGCTGACAGTCCAAGGGTGCAGCCTGAGCAGAGTGTGTCTGCTGTTGAAAGCTTGTGAGGGGCTGTGGAAGTGGCATGGGAAGCTGAGCTCACTGATTCTCTGCAGGCTTTGCCTCCTTCATGCTCATTTCTGGGTCTTGTTTTGCTCCCTGCTCCTTGTGAGCTGACAGAGACCTTTGGCAGCTGCTGCTCTCTTAGCATGGGATCTTTGGCCAGGCCCTTTTTCTGGTGACTTCTGCTGCCAGAGCACTTCCTCACAGTCCTTCCTGCTGTGTGGTCCTTCTGCTGCTCCTGAAGCTGGGGTCTTCCCATGGTTCTTGTGTGTGGACATACTGTGCCCCATCTTGTTTCTGTCATTACATTCTGGCCTCTGTCCCAGGCAGCTCTTTGTCATGTAAGGTGTTTCCTTCCCAGCCTCTTCACATCCTGTTCACCTGCTTCACTGTCCCACTCTGCCTGTGTGATGGTTCCATGTGTGGTGGTATAAGGCTGGTTTGTACTCCAGTGAGGCAGCTTTGCCTAGGAGAACAAGTGGAGGAAGGATGATTGAATTATAACATAGCCAAATGGTCCTAGGTAGGCATTAATATGCCTGGAAAAACAGTTATTCATCATCTCTCTACTTTATTCCTTGCAGGTCTAGGACACTACAACATCACCAGTGTTCCTACCAAGCTACAAGGTGACATTGCTGGAGTAAACATTATCCAGGTCTCCTCCTATGGGGACTGTTGTCTGGCTGTCTCAGATGAAGGAGATGTTTTTGGCTGGGGAAATTCAGAATATTTGCAGCTGGCATGTGTCACAGAAACCACACAGGTCAGTTGGCCTGGGGGGGGGGTTCACCTTTCAGTTCAGCTGCTGTGCACAGGGTTAAGGATGACTTCTCCTGCTCTGGGTTCTCCTGGCAGCAGTGGAAATCAGCATAAACTAACACCACGAGCAGGCTGTTGAGGACAGGAACCAGTCTTTGGCTGGCTCATCTGGAATTTGGAGTGGTCCTGCTTTGAGCAGGGGTCAGATGACCCTTGGAAGTCCCTTCCAATCCACTCGTGTGTTGGTGGGTTTTTCACCTGAGTCCTAAACAAATCCCAGTCTCTCACAGATCAGAGTTTTTTAGAGTGCACTTCCATGGGGCAGAAATAGAGTGTGCTCTTGGCACTGAGCATTGCAGTACTGGGGTGATGAGGCAGGTGGTCTCTCACAGTTTGTGTAGGAAATACAATTGGGCAACTAATTAACACCCAGGCCACTCTTGGCAGCAGGCTGAGAGCAGACAGTTGTGTTAGGAAGGCTTTAGTAAAATACATGCCTCTGTTTCCTGTGCCTCCCCTGTTGTATTTTCAATAAAGGGCTAATTCCTGAGGCCCATAAGGCCTGAGATCAGGCACCAGCTGAAGGAGTGTAGCAGTTCCTGGCTGGGAGCTCCAGGGGGGTCAGAGGGGCTGAAGTGGATGAAGGGCACAATTGTCCAAAAAGCCCAAATTGTGAAGTAGCAGAGCTGGGTAATACCTGTGAAATCTGAGCTCACTGTGTCTGTCCAGCCGTGCTGCTTTCTCTTGTGTTGAACTGCACCAAATTAGAGTGATTTTCTTTGATTTTTCTCTAGTTTGTCCAAAAATGCCACCACAGACCAAATTTTAGTGATACTGCAAATGGAATTTTCCACGGACCCCTTGGGCCTGACGTGGAGGGGCAGGGGTGTGAGCAGGCATGAAGCTTCCCCAGCTTTGCTGCCATTTAAGCTTTCCAGGGTTTCACTTTCCCCACTGTGCCCACACTCTGCCTTCATTTCCTGTAGAGTTTTTAATCTTGGGCCTTACACTCATTCTGTTACCCCAATAAAGGTCTCTCCCAGGAACTCAGTGCACCAAAGCTCTAACCAGAAGCATAGAACAAGTTAAAAATGTGCCCAGTTGGCAGTGTACCTTCTCTCCAACCTCCTGCAGGTGAACGTGCCCAGGCATTTGCCATTCAAGGTTGGGAAGATAAAGGAGGCTGCGTGTGGAGGCACTGGCAACCTTGTGCTGACAGGTGAGCTGCCTTTGGCAGGTGTCCTCTCCAGCCCAGGGCTGAGCACTGGGGGGTGGTCAGGCCATGGAGCAAGCATTGTTCACTGGAAATCAGGCACTGTCTGTTGAGAGTTGGGCAGCTGAGCACCCAGTGATTGAAGAAGGTGTGTGGGGGGTTGGTTTCCCTAGCCACAGGGCAGTGCCTCCAGGTGCTGGGGTCCCCATCCCTGCAGGGCTTCAAACACAGATCTCACTCAGGGCGTGAAGTTCACCAGCACAGACTGTCTTACAGAATTGTGTTCTTCTGCAGAAGAAGGAAATGTGTTTGTCTGGGGATATGGAATCCTTGGGAAGGGCCCAAAGCTCCTGGAGACAGCAGTGCCAGAGGTGATCCCCCCCAGCCTCTTTGGCTGCTCAGACTCCAGCCCAGATGTCCGCGTTGCTCACGTGCGCTGCGGCCTCAGCCACTTTGCTGCACTTACAAGTAAGTTTCCAGTCCTGCCATCGTGGAGAACTCACCTTGCAGTGTTGTTGGTAATTAAAAGGGGGGAAGAAACCCAAACACTCCTCTTTCTTTATGCTCAGAGCACACTGGAATGCAGCAGGAGGGGTGGGCAGCACATTTACAGGGGTCAGCGTGGCTTCTGCACTAACTGAGGCTTTCATGAAGAGTTATCCTTCTAAAGCAAACAAAAAATTTCACTCAAACAGGAAACCTGGGAAGGTTTTTTCATTTCCTTGTACAGAATAAGTCAGTTGTACTTCAGAAGCATCAGGAATTTGTGATAAACTCCAAGTGAATCCAAATCAGAGCTAGCTGTCAGGGTTTGCTGGCTTCTCTAACCGACTGTTAACACTCTGAGGCTGGAAGACTACACGTTTAACATGCAAAGGGTGTGATCCCTCTACTGGATAGCAGGCTTTCAAGGAAGTTTTGAATTGGAAATGCACTTAAAAATGGGCAGCAGAGGGCAGCAGCACAGAAAACCCGTGTGCTTTGTGGTGGAAGTCAGCCTTCACTGAGGAGGAGTGTGAGGAGCCAAGAGCTTGGTCCTTCCTGGGGAAGTGGTGTGAATGGCACCTGGTCTGGTGCCAGGGTGCCTGTAACTGGTGTCCCCTGGCATTCAGGAAGCATCAGAAGCTGTGTTTGGATTAAGTTGTGCTTATGTTACAGGGAGAGGTTTGGTTGTCTCTGCTGTGGGGCTGATCTGAGCAATTCTGAGATCTACATGCTTTGCTGAGGAGCTTAAAACTCTCCAGCTCTGTTAAACACCAGTGGCTTCTTCTCCCCAGTTGTTAGAAGGCCCCTTTTGCCAGGCAGCTGATAACCAGCCCCCAGGGACAGCCTGGGGCAGCTCTCCCTGCCTGGCAGTGTGATAGCTGCTGTGGGGCAGCTGTAACTCTGCCTTCCAGCAAGGGATTCACTTCACCACAGATCATTCCCTGGCATCCCTCCTGCTGCTCTTTCTTCAAAGAAACAATCCAGAGCAAGAGCTGTAGGAGGGGCAGGCAAAGACTTGTGCTCATGACCTGCAGCTTGTCCTGCTCGTTGGGCATCATTTTCCCCAGGCACAAGGACATTTATTGGGCTGGGAACTCACCTCAGTGGGTGTATAGCCCTTTGTACTCCTGGAAGCACTCATCAGCATCACAGATAGAATTCTTCCTTTTTAATGCCTTTTGCCCTGTTTTATTGTTTTTATTCTTTTTTCCCCCCTTGTATAGATAGAGGAGAACTGTTTGTATGGGGCAAGAATCTAAGAGGGTGCCTGGGCACTGGAAGGATGGAAGACCATTATTTCCCCTGGAGGGTAAGGATGGTGGTATCAAGACCACTTAGGGGTGGAGCTATGCAATACATTCTTAAGTCTGCTATTTCAGTATTGATTTCAGATCCCAAAGCAACATCTGGTGCTGTGCTGGCACATCTGGTGCTGTGCTGGCACATCTGAGCAGTTCTTATCTCCCTTCTGTCCAGTCTCCTGCCTGCCACCTCTCCCTGTCTCTTCCCTCCCCTCCTAACCCACACTTTGCTTTGGTACCTGCTGCAGAGAACACCAGCAGCACTGGTCCTCTGTGGCCCAAAAGATTTGGATTACACATGTAAAAGAGGTGAATGCTTTGGTCGTGGTGGTCACACAGTGGCAGCAGGCCCAGGCAGCAGTGGCCTTCCTTCCCCAGCTCCTCTTCAAGGGAAGCAGCTGTGCTGCTGGGTCACTGGCCTGACTGCAGTCAGTTGTTCCTTAGCCACAGAACTGTTTTCATAGCTGTTGCACAGTGCTTCCAGGTCCACTCCCTCCTCTCAGAGGGCTCCAGGAGCCACCCTCTGTGGGTGTAGAAGAGTCTTTGGCTCTGGAGTTCAGCACTCAGCTGCCAGATGTTCCCAGTCTCCACGAAGGCCAAGTTAGGAGAGGAGGGAGGCAGTCAGTGGGACCACCCTGGAGTCCCTTTCCATGTGCCTGTGAGGATGTTTCTTTAGCATGCTTCCTCCTTTTGAAAATGCAGTGAAGAGACCAGCTCTGGAGCATTGCCCAACATCCAGGGCTGTGGCTGAGTGACCTCGCCAGGCGTGGCACATGCAGGTCTGGCCCTTGGGGGTTGTGCTCCCTCCAGCAGCCACCTCCTGTCTGACACTACTCTGGCAGTTGCCCAGGAGCAGTCTGTGACCTGCCTAGAGGTGGGCACCTCTGAGCTCTGGGGGAGGAAGGTGTCTGGGGGGTGGGGGGCAGGAGCTGCAGTGACCCCCGTGTGTCTGGCGCAGGTGACCGTGCCCGGGGAGGTGCTGGACGTGGCCTGTGGAGTCGATCACATGGTGAGCATGGTTAAATCCTTCACCTAGCAAACCTGCTGGGCCTGAGCAGATGGGGAGGACCTGGAGCTTCGTGGAGTGGAGGCAGCAGGAGGTGATGGGGAGCAGTCAGCCCTGGCAGGGCCTGGGTGTGTTGGCATCTCTGCGTCCTCGGGACACTTCAGCTGACTGCAGGGAGGAGGATGTCCCCCGAGGAGAGTGGGGTGCAGGAGTGCTCTGCCTGCTCTGCCAGGAGCTCCCACAGGGCCTGGGGGGCTGGGGAGCCCCTCTGCCTGAGGATGGAGAGCATCTCCCTCAGGGAAGACTAGCACAGGGCATGAATTTATGGACACTTGCCCTGTCCCCAGCTCTGGGGTGCTTGTTTTGGGGAGTCCCTGCACTCTCCACTGTCAGGGACATGGTGGCTCTCAGTTGCCAAGAGCCCTTTTAAATCAGCCAGGTTTTTTGGTACTGCCTAGCAGGGCAAGAGGCAGAGCTGTGATGCTGGGTGCCTTCATAGCAGAGGAGCTGTGGACCCTCTAAGTCCACACTCCAAACAGCAGCAGAGCTGTGTCACTTCTCTGTGTGGGACACTTCTGCTGATTAAAGTATTTTGGCAAACTCCAAGCTAATGCATTTTTAATAAAGCATTTGTTAAGTCTTCCTCAGTAGTCATGGAAATATTCTTCAGCTTGACTTCACACATGAGCTCCTCTGTCTTGCACGTGGTGTTTAAACTGAAGCATTTCAGTTCATGGTGATGTGACAGGAAAACTTTGTCAGCTGAGGCCCTTCTGCACCTCCAGCACTGATGCTGTCCTGGCAGGGGATCTGTCCACAGACCCAGGGGACACCACAGACTCCTTCTGGTTCCATTAGCTGAAAACCTGTATCCAACCTGTTCTGTAAGTGCCAAAACTCAAGGGGTAAAACCTACCTTGACAAAATAAAGCCTTCATAAAACACTGGGAAGGTGAAACGAGGCTCACAGACACAGACAGGCCTGTGGGGTGCTGGGAGCTGTGCTGGGAGCTGTGCTGGGCAGCTGCTGTGGCTGGGGTGGGCTGAGGCAGAGGGAGCAGAAAGCTGCTGGTGAATTGGGGCAGACCCTCACTGCTCTGGGTTCACTTTAGTTTACACCTTACTCCACACGTGCCTTGCTTGCCTCCCAGGAGTGGTGGAAATAAAGGGGAATAAGAACAAGTCTGAAATCCCCTCTCACTCCTGACTCTTCTGCCTCCTCCCCATCTTTGTTCACTGCTGCCCAAATCATGGCCACATGTCATTGCTCACAGTGTCTTGCACTGCTTGCATGGTCCTACAGACTCCCAGCCAACCACACAGAACCATTTTGGTTGGAAGAGACCTTCAAGATCAAGGCCAGCTGTTCCCCAGCACTGCCAGGTCCCCACTGCCCCGTGTCCCTCACACCACATCTCCACAGCTTGGAAACCCCTCCAGGGATGGGAACTCCACCACTGCCCTGGGCAGCCTGGCACAGCCCTGGACAGCCTTTGCTGGGGAGAAATTTTTCCTGGTATCCAACCTAAA